AGCATGGATTTTAACCAAAAACTAATCAAAACCTAGCATTAGTTCAGAGCATCTATGTACCAAGTTTCATCAAAATCCAATGAGTGGTTCTTTAGATATCAGTGGAACAGTCATAGAACAGCTAAAAATTAGCTAATTATCATGCAAATTAGGTAATTAACGAGCATGGATTTTTACCAAAACCTAATCAAATCTGCGCATTGGCCCAGAGCATCTATGCACCAAGTTTCATCAAAAACCGATGTATGGTTCTTGAGATAGCAGTGGAACAGTCGGACACACATACACACATACACACACACACACACATACAAACACACTAACTACAAAGACTCCCATTTTGTGCTTCGCACATGGGAGTCAAAAATTGCGCAAAAGTGGGGGGTGGGTGCTTGCCCGGGCATGGGCGCTAACGCAGTCGAGTACGGTAATATCAGAATATCAACACAAATAGAGAAATCATGATTTTAGGAGCCATTCTCACAAATAATATGCTAATTTAGGATAATAGTAGGGTGGCACATTTACAGTTTCAACCACTGATGATTTTTAAAATCGAAAATATTATACTTTCAGTCATTAATAAGAGTTATTGTTATTGCACTATTCATATCCAGAAATTCTCATACTGCAGCGAAAGAAATGGTACTATTGCATGATTTTTTTTGTAAACTGTCCAAACACACAGACTGATACATTTAGTGAATATTTTTAACTCCCATCTAGCAGGAATGGCATTCTGAATCACCTATAGAGCAGAGCTGACTTCATCTTTCAACCCACATATCATGTTCAACTCACCTCTAAAGCAAAATCTCCTTGTTCCTTCTTTCCTAATGGCGTGTACACTCTGACAAGAACACCATCTGATGAAGTAGCTTCAACATAATCAAACTCGCCAACAATAAACGCTAAAAGATATGTTGACATGATTGGTGTTTTGCCATATTTCACTTCCACCAAGTCTGCGTCTTTTTCGCATGGTTTCTTCTCTGTTACTTGCTGCAAATATAGTTATATATGATGTAATATTTACAAGGTGCTGACCAAAAGTATGCCTTTTTAGTAACTGGGAAATGTGTAATTTTTTTACCAATTAAATCCAACCTTCGTGTAGCAACACATGAATATGTGATGCAAAACTAACCATTTCCTGTACAATAAAAAAGTAGTACGACCCGGTGAACGATGCAAGCCATTGTTGCCTGTGGGGTCATGGAAGGTAATAGAGGTCAAATCCGCGAATGGATGTGTGATTCTCGCTACCCTGGATAAATATTACGTGAATGTACATGTAATCTCAGACAATTGTACAGTTCTTTTAGTTGTCTGAGGTAGAAAGCAATCTTGAAGAAACCATTGCAAGACAGAATGGAAAACAACCGATCGTTCAGAGACCAGGTAGAGCAAAATACAGCCGAAAATATTTATTTACTCCATGCAACAAGGTTTATGTCTATGAATATATTTATTGAACATTGCAGCATAGACCACGTCACTCAAGAAGGATTGAACTGCGCATATACTGTACCAACTTGAATTTGAATTCCAAAAAGCCACCTCGTTACCAGAAATTAATTGTTTAGACCTTTCACAGCTCAGATCAGTAACTATACACTTACAGTACAGTTCTCACGGAAGCTTTGGCTTTTGTGGCTTCATTGTCGCCTCAGCATCGCATCATTGTGGCATCAGCTTCGCGTCATTGAAAATTGAAGCTGTGTTCGCCTCTTATTTTGTGGCATCATCGTGGCCTCAGCTTCGCAGTCTCATGGCATCAACATGGCATCAGCTTCAAAGTATTGTGACATGAGTATGACCTCATTATTTTCACACGGAAAGACAGTAGAGAAAAAACACATGTACAGAAGTTCGATATGTAATCGATTTGAAATTCAAAGCGATAAGGGAAATAAAATAATATGACCAAGAGTAAAATGACATTTTATAAAGATATCTTGTTTAATTATTTAATGTTGCGAGTATTGGGTACCAAAAACTATGTGAAGTACATTGCAATCTGCAAGGTGACGAGTGTCATATTGACTGCAAGGAACAACACAATTTGCTATACGAAATGCAACTGTTCTTGTTATAAAATTACCTTATTTCCGTTCATTTTATTTGCTGGTAAGAGAACAGATTCAGACTCCTCATTTTGGTGGTATTTTTCTGTGTTTCGTTTAGTTTTAGCCGAGTCCGATCCCATGCCCGGACTACTAATACATGCAAAACAAGCGAACGCCGCCTGGCGTTGTCGCCTGCCATCTTGATACAAAGTTCCAAAACAAGTGCGTACATTTCCAACTATGATTGGATGGTTGTGGTGGCGTCGGTCGGGTAAAATTTTACATCCAATTTTCAAAATTAAGTCACGATCAGTGA